TAAGCTCTGTGGGTCCTCAGTTAGCTTTAAAGGGACTCTATGGAGACTTAAACATTCTCAGTCCTTATTTCAAAGAACTGTAAACACAGTTTTCATCATGCTACTTCTCTGCTCACAAGCCTGCAATCACTCCTTATTACATAGCATTTTGTTCATTTATTGCAACACCCAAAGCCTGTGTACACCAGGAATGTGGCTGCATGTGCCGTCCTGGATGGGGACAGAGATGAAGGAGACAGTTGTGCTTGGCACACAAGGCGGCTCCTGGTTTCTGTACTCTGCCATTTGCCCCTGCACCAGCCTTTAATAAGTCATGCGTTATTTCTTTATTCCATTTAAAAAATCCTCACCCAAGGATATGTTTTTAAAAAAATATATTTTATTGATTTTTTAACAGAGAGGAAGGGAGAGAGATAGAGAGTTAGAAACATCGATGAGAGAGAGTCATCGATCAGCTGCCTCTTGCACACCCCCTACTGGGGATGTGCCTGCAACCAAGGTACATGCCCTTCAGTCCGCAGGCTGACGCTCTATCCACTGAGCCAAACCGGTTTCAGCAAGGATATGTTTTTTTATAAATTGAATTTTTAGAGAGAGAGAGGAAGGGGGAGAGAGAGAGAAATAAACATTGCTCAGTGGCCTCCTGTATGCACCCTGACTGGGAATTGAACCCACCAACTAGGCATGTGCCCTGACTGGGGATTGAACCTGCAACCTATTGGTGCACGGGGAGACACTCCAACCAATTGAGCCATCTGCCGGGCTCTTCATTCCAGTGGATAGTGCACTTTTTGAAGGCAGGGGATCTACTCTCCCCTCAAGGTTACTTCTTAGACACTGGACATTATCACAGTCAACCGTCATCTAGTCTCCTTCAGTGATCTTGCTTGGATATTCTGGCATAATTTTGTATTACAGTTGGTGCTATCGGATAGAAATCATTTCATGGAATTATGGGGTTGCGGAATGCTAGGACTGAAAGGGTCTTTTTAAATATTTTTTGCAAGAGGAAGTTTATTTAGAAAGTTACAGGGGTGCTATAGCCAGTGTGCTCAGTGGTCAGAGCGTCAAGTTCAATTTCAGGACATGGCTCTAAACTTGGGTTGCAGGTTCCGGCCTTGGCCCTGATCTGGGGCAACCAATCGATGTGTCTCTCTCACATTGATTCCTTCCCTCCCTCCCTCCCTTCCTCCCTCCCATTCTCTCCAAAAATAAGTGGAAAAAATATCCTTGGTGAGGATTAACCAAAATAAGTAAATAAAAGAAAGTTACAGGGACAAAAGAAAGACCTGGAAGGGTCCATTTTAGATCGAATGCCTGGTTTTTTAGATCATCTAGTAGCTGATACTCAAGGCGTAGCCTGGGTGTTAGAGGCCCAGCGCAGGCTCACTCAGGCCTGTGAACTAGAACCGCCTCGTAGCGAGGTCTCAGGTGACTGCTATGCGCATTGAAGGTGGACACACTTTTCAAGGTCAGCTCCCCTTTCACTCTGGAGAAAACCAGGACAGTTAGGTTGCCCGGAATCACACGGCTGTTTATTCCAGTGGCTCCCGAGCTGGGATACATCTTGGTTTACTTGGGAACCTTAAACAAATCCTGATGCCTGGGTCCCACCCCACACATTCTGACTTAACGGTCCGGACTGCAGCCGGGCTCGCAGGGTGAACAGTCTCTGAATGACCGCTGTGCAGCCCAGCCGAGAGCCGCGCGGCGGGCAGTGAGAGAACCAGGGTTCTGATGCTCCACCCGGGCTGCACAGCCAGAAACATGCCTCCCCTGCCTGGTGCTTCTCGGCTCCGGCCCCATCTCTTTCCTTCACAGCGCTATCGCCTCACACTCTTCGGTGTCTGAGGAACAAATGGAAAGAGGCTATGCAGGCGGCACCAGCAGGCCTAACCCAGTCAGAGGGCGGAGGCTCCTGAAGGACCAGGGATCTGAGTTGGGATTCAGAGGCAGCCAGAGGGCAGCGGAGGACTTGAACCCAGATCTTCCTGTCATTGACCTCTGCTGTCCTGTGGGCAGAGAGGTCAGCTGCTTGCCTGGGCTTCTCAGCTGGGGTGGTGGACCAGGGGTGCGGGGCTCCAGTTCTCCAGACCCTCATAACGGGGGCCACTTCCACTCAGTGTCATCAGCACATCTCTGGGGGTCCAGTGAGAGGACCTCACTCAGTTTGGTCCCTGGCTGACACTAGGCAGTCACTTCCGGTGTGGGTTTCCTTGTGCTTGTCTCGAGAAGCTGCTTATTTTGAGGCTAGAACAGCATTTGTATCACTCTCACTTGTGGGAGTGAGTCTGTCCTGGTTAAACTAGTCTGACTATTAGAGACGCTTGATTATGCCAGTGCTGTAGCCAGATCATGGTTGGTTGGTCGCGATATTTCTGTCATATGTTATTTTTGGTGTTTAATTCTTCTGATTTGTCATTCGGTATATTTTGCCACTGATTTATCTATCATCAAACTTTGAAGTAAGGTGTAAAAGTCCTTTTTTGGGAAGCCATTTATTAGTGTGTTCTACTACACAAGTGATTTATAAAATTTTTGATGTTAAGGCCAGTTTTGAAATGTCTTGATAAGTGGTAAGCTCATGCTGTCTCTATTGTTAATAGGAAGCCAGGAAATGTTAAGCCCCGAATGTAAGACATTCGTTTTAACATCATGAAGTTTCGTTTAAATTCTGAAGCCACAGAGAGATGAGATGTGGCGGGAGAAGGCTTTGCTGGCGGCTGGCATGTGCTCCGGGAGTCGGAGCGCTGCTGACGGGGTGTGAACGCTTTTCCTAATGCGCTCCGCGTCCACGCTCCCAGTCCCGAGGGGCGCGCTGGATTCCCAGAGGGACTGGATTCTGAGGTTTGCCGAGTTCAGAGGGAGCGTCCTGGGGCCCAGATGCTGGCTTAGTAGCAGGTGGCTACTAAAGACACTGCCACGGGTTGCCAGTCAGCAGTTACCACTACCGATTAAGTCAAACAGAAGGCTGATAAAAGTCCTGCAGCAAGAACTTTCTGGAAACAGAAAGTAAGTACATAGGAAGTAGATGCTTATCCTGGTAGCTAAGAGTCACATTGTGGAGGACTTACTTATGAAAAATTTGTACAAGTCAATGTTAGTCAGATTTCAACTCTTTTTGGCACAAAATTTTAGTTCTTAGAAAACATTGTTGGAGATTACTCTTATTGACTTTAGTAACATTTTATGTTGGTGTGGTACTTTTGAATTGAAAGCACTATTGTATGCTTTATCCTATTCAATTCTCCCAACAACCCTGTGATCTAAGAGAGAGGGGTGTCCTTGCTATCTTAAAAAAAAATATATAGAGGTCCGATGCATGAATTCATGCACCAGGGGGGTCCCTTGGCCTGGCTTGGGGAATCGGTCCTTAACAGGCTCTCCGACATCCCCCGAGGGGTCCTGGATTTCGAGAGGGTGCAGGCCAGGCCGAGGGACCCCTCCAGTGCACAAGAGGGCCGGGGAGGGACATGGGGAGTTGGCCAGCTGCGGAGGGACTGTGGGAGGGCTTCAGGGCATGTTCCGCTCCTCTCGCTCAGTCTCGCCCTATCAGCCAGACCCCAGCAGCAAGCTAGCCAACCAGAGCGTCTGCCTCCTGGTGGTCAGTGCATGTCATAGCAAATAGTTGAGCTACCTTAGCATGTCATTAGCATATTGCACTTTGATTGGTTGAATGGCCTACCGGATGACCAGGCACTTAGTATATTTTATTATAGAAGATTTTTATTGATTTCCGAGAGGGAGAGGGAAAGGAAGAAGGAGAGGGAGATAGAAATATCAATGATGAGAGCTAATCATTGATCAGCTGCCTCCTATATGCCCCCTACTGGGGATCAAGCCTGCAACCCAGGCATGTGCCCTTGACCAGGAATCAAACAGTAACCTCTTGGTTCATGGGTTCATAGTCAACCACTGAGCCACGTCTTGCTACCTTTTTTGATGAGGTAATACAGAGGTAATTACATTCCAAATGACAGCTAGTAAGTGAGAGAACTGCGCTATTTATATTGTAGAGAAAAATGTTGAAGTGGTTGTTGAAAGTCTAAATAGCCCTTGGTTTTCTAGGTATATAAATATGTTGTTTTAATGCAGGATGAATAATCTAAACATTTATTTAATACTGCAACCAAAAGAAAAGGATATTAGGACCGAAAATAATTGGTTGGCAAGACTCACAGAGATGGTTTTCCTTTGTTAAAGTTACCATTGTGCCGGTTCTTGTATGTACACTAACATTTTACCCACATGAAGCAGCCTGGGCGCAGAGACCTGTGCTCCAACTTCCTGACCTGCGGCACCTGCCGTTAGCTGGCGCTCAGTAGAGTCTCTTGAATGAGTGGGGTGTGGGGTTTACTCTGGGAAAGGGGTAGCATTGTCGTTGAATATGGACTGAACTGCAAAATGAATATGGCATTGGCTCCTCTTAGTAAAGTTTACTGTGTACAGCACTTAATGCTTCCTTTAATGTTTTTTTTTTTTTTTTTTTTTACAAGTAATACATATTCCCTGCATATGTCTTTTTTCATACACACAGATTTTAAATTTTGTAACATTCAAGCCTACAGAATACTTGTAGGTGTGGTGCACAGAACTCGTTTCCCTTGAACTATATGAGGATAAGTTGCCAATATGTTTCAGCCCTGCCCCTCCCCTCCCAAATGCTTTTGTATTTCCTGCGAACCAGAGCATTTTCTCCGTCACCATAACTCGGAAGCCATGCCCGTCATGCCGGTTGGCCCGGTGGTAAGCCCTGGGCCGCACTCGGCCGTCTCCTCTGTCCGTAAGACTCAGCAGTCCTCTCAGTCTTGGGCCTCCATGGCCTTGCCGCTCTCCATGAAGATGCAGGCCGCTCATTCTGGAGACGGGCCCTCCTTCGGGGTGTGCTGACGTTTCCTCATGGTCAGGCCCACGCTGTGCGCTTCGGCAGGAAGACACAGAAGAGCCAGTGTATGTCTCTTGCACAGGTTAGTTTTACATTTTATTTTCTGTTTCTTTAGAGCGTTTCCCAAAGTGTATTCTGCGGAACTAGCACCTACTGTGTTCTCAACACCGTGCCGCCTCTAGAAGGTAGGATTTGAAAAGCTTTTGACTTACAGGACGGGTGGGCTTGGCAGCGTGAGTGTTTCCGGCATTGTAGTGTGATCAGGACTTAAAGACCTGAGTTCTGCCTTTAACTGGTTGTGTGATCTTAGATGAGTTACTTAATCCTTCTGGGGGTAGCAAATACTACTCCCTTTGTAACCTTATGTGAGGATTAGAAAGGGCAAAGGGTTTAACCACTTGGGGAATTCAAAGCACTCTGCAGTGTCACATTGAAACAGTGATTCTGTCACTCTGGTGTCAAATTCCAGGGGACTGCAGAATAGGAGTCCTGAGGGAGAAGCCACAGGTCATGTTTGAATCCCAGCTGAGCCACTTACTAGTTGGATGTTGGGCAAATTAATCTGAACCTCTGGCTCTTCATCTGTGGAATGGGGTGATTATGCCCTGATGGGCTCCTGGGAGGATTCAATGAGAGCAGGCCATGTAAACGCCTCCTGGAGGCCTGATATGGAGTCCTACATGTCTGCTCTCTCATCAGTAGCAGCAGTAAGCTTACTGGTCATGGGCAGCTCCATGGACATTGCATGGGATGAAGCAGGAGAAGATGCTCCCAGACTCAAATGGAATAGTCGATTGCAGACCCCACTGGAGCTGCCCCGCACACACATTTCAGATGGAATGTAAATGCAGATAGACATTTATTGAACCTGGGCCAGAGATTTAATGATAAGATCGACAGAAAAAAGCATGAATCTGTGAGAAGAGGAAAGGGGTTGTTAAAGAGCAAAACTACTTATGTTTTTCTATTAAAAAACTTATTTTTTTAACCTTTAAATATCTTTTGGATAATTGCAACGGAGTTTAATTCATTTTGGAGAATCTCTTTGGAAAGGAATAAAGAGAAATCCTACCAATGCTGGCACATACTTGGTGCTTAATTAATATGTATTTTGGATGAATAATGATTTGCAAGGCTGACATTTGTAGTGGCAGTATTTGCTGCTGTGCTGACTTGAATAGAACAATATGTGGCTGTTTTCCTGAATCAGTTCCCATCCTGCTAATTAAATCTAAGCACATGATAATTAGAGCTAAACAGAAAATTGTAGAGCTTCCTTTGAATTTTATCACTCCAGGCTGATCAGATATGTTCCTGGTAAGATCTAGCAGTTTGATACACTGTTATATCGGCTTATTTTGAGCAGTTTGGTCTAGAAGTTGAGAGATTAACTGTAATCAACTTGATTAAATAACAGAACCAACATTATTTTTTATTAATGATGAACAAAAATAAAATGGATGCATCATTTCCAGGTTAGAGTTGATATAGTTATAATTTCCCTTGCAGAAGTCAACAGGGTGTCCCAAGGAAAGGTCACATGTATTTCTTTGGATTTAAATAAAGTATTTGGCAACATGAATCTCAATTTTTAGCAATAAAACATGAAAATAAGAACTCCTTGCCTTATTAAGTGACTGCGTATTTTTGTATATTTTAGAAAGTTTTAGTTAAATTACACTGTCTCTGAAATTATTATTCGGAAAATATTTGAAGATTGACTGGAAAAGATGGTTCATTCTCTAGAATTATAGTTGTCAGCCACGCAAATCATCTGTCAGTTTCAGGAGCTTCACTAGTTACTTTTATTGTGAAGGAGGTTGGGAAATAATTTTCTGAAGTCATATATCAGACCTGAGGATTGCGCTAGATGATGATAATGAAGTGTTTCACTGGATCCGGTTGGCACTTCCATCTCGCGGTGTCAGTTTAACTGTTTACATTAAGTCCTGAGGTGCATTTGGAACCAGCGATACTTCAGGTTACTCTCAGGTGCTGTTACAATCCTGTCCTAAGACAGGATTTAAAAACTGGCACTTGTATTTATCTAATTATCGTGTCAGTGAAGTTATTCCAAAAAGATGAAAAAGGAGTTCTTTTCCAGTGGGGGAGCAAAGTTACTTTTTATGACACTTTTAACTGGAAAACAGAAATTTGAAAGTAAGCGTCTTACATTCTGCCTATAGGAATGAGTTCCTACCCCCCAGTACTAAAACTGCCGTCTTCACGATGCAGAGTGGAAATTTACCCGTTGTTATGTTCTTAAAAACATCCCACTTCTATTGAGCGTGCACCGAAAATTCTGGAAACAGCACAGTTCAAGATGATTAGGGGAGCTCATTGGCCGGCATACTTCTGCTCCTGCTGAAGCCGGGCCGCCCAGCCCACAGCACTATATTTAGGAACTTGATTGAGACAGTGCTTACACAGCCACCCTCCTTCTCCTCTATGAAGCCCTCGCTGGCTCACCTCTGCCTGATTCCCTATCAGAGGGGAGGCGAGGCTTTTCTACAGCAGCTACTGGTGGTGCTGAGAAGAGGGCACTCTCACTCTCTTCCTCCCTGCCCCTCCCAAGCGTGCAGACATCCCTGTACATAGATGTACTTTATTTATTTAAAAAATATATTTTATTGATTTTTTACAGAGAGGAAGGGAGAGGGATAGATAGTTAGAAACATCAATGAGCGAGAAACATCGATCAGCTGCCTCCTGCACACCCCCCACCAGGGATGTGCCCATAACCAATGTACATGCCCTTGACTGGAATCGAACCTGGGACCCTTCAGTCCTCAGACTGACGCTCTATCCACTGAGCCAAACCGATTTTGGCCATAGATGCGCTTTAATGTGTCACAGGGACGGCTGGTTCCTCAGAGAGGCTGAAAGGACAGACACTCGACATCAGGCTGTGATCACAAACACAGAAACAGAAGCCGGGGCCTAATATTTTGTTATTATTGTTCAAAGCACCTTTTAAGTAGTTTTCTCAGCGTATGATACGCCTAGACATACATACAATTCAGGGTCTGCCATTTATTAGCACTTAGCATAGCACTGTCTTCAGAAAGGCACCCTGTAAGTGGGAATATTTGAGTTAAGTATAGATTTTAGGATTCCTCCTCTACTTTCAGAATTGTATAAACATGGGACATTTTATAAAGTAAGAATAAAATCACTTCAGGGGCGGAGAGAAGGGACGGGAGGTGAAGGCTCCTGGGATTTGGTTTCTGCTCTCTACAGTCTGAGGCCCCGGTCCCCCCTGGGCATGAGGTGCAGGGAGCACACGTCAGCACATGAAATTACAGAGGTTTTGTAGGGTGCAATTAACACAGAACTTTCTAGGAACATTCTCTTAGTTTAACATTCTTGGTTACAGAGCAAGATTTAAAAACGTTTAATTTAATTTCACCCTTAAGTTCAAAATTTGAATTCTTAAAAGCAGTCAGTTTTGAAGTTTTTACACTGCTTATAGAAATGGGAGATGGGCATTATAATTCAATCGGTTATGTAATTCATGGACCAAAAAAGATTGAGTATGCTAAAGCTCTCCTAAGTTCCTCTCTACAAAATATTTCCATATGATGTAGTAAATTTCTTTAGACTTTATTTCTACACCCAATATTTCCCTGTTAAGATATTTTCCTTGAGGAGAAATGTGTAAATGAGATGAAAAATGCTTGGAGAGGATTTTATTGTGGCTGTAGAAAATACTTTTATTCTTTTATGGTTTTGACATGCTCAAAAAATAGACCTATGCTAAGTAAGCAACATTATAGTAAATGACTAGAAAGATAAGTTGTATTTCACTTTTGACATTATTGACGAATAGCAGTGTGCCTCTAAAAGGCTGTTTATTGAAGATAGGTTAAGTCACTGGATTAATTGCAGATAGGCTAAGTCAGAGTTCTGTAGGGCTCACAGAGGAGAATTAGAGGTAGTCTGATTCTCCTTGATTTAGGAAAACTGAAGGTATTAAGTAACTTACCCAAGATCACACAATCAGAAAGGAGCAGAACTGGGACTCTTACTTGGAGTTCAGTGTTTTTATTACATTTTGTTATTTCAACCGTGCTTTCTGGAGCAGATTCCGTGTTTAGTATTTAATCATTGTACTTTTGTACCTGGTTATGCTCTGCGTCCTTTGGATATTGGGGCTTCTGTTTAACAAAAAACAAAACAAAACTGGAGTGGGTACTTAGAAACTTGGAACTAAATGTGCCAAAACTGGCAAGAAATTTTTAGCCAGGCAAAGGGGACTTGGTTACAGGAATGAAATAGGAAATGATGTGCAAATAAATAAATGAATGAAATGATACATAAAGGAAATGATCTCTTCTAGAAAGTATCGGGGAGACCAATTATCAGGTAGTGAGACATACCAATTAGTCTGAAAGTAATAGATTTCTCTTTCACTTAATTTAGAAGAGTTATATTTTGATGAAATACATTAATGATATAGATATGTATATGTAAATTGAGTTAATTAAAATGCTATATTTTTACATTTAGGCTAGAAAGGCCAGCTTCTGTATTACCTAGCTAACTGCAGCCTTGAATTCCTTAAATCATAAGATGTGTAACTTGCTTTTGAAAGGATAAGTCTCATTTATATTCTAGAGGATGAAGTGGTATTAGTTTATGAATAAAATAGTCCTCTTTTATTAGAATTCTTCTTTCCTAAAAAATCGTAAACCTTTTCAAGTGTTTACTAGAGGATCCCGGGGTTGTGTTTGAGGTTAAATTATTGTGCAGCTTGGGTGGACTTCATGGAAACCTGGGCGAGAACCTTTAAAAGTGAGGCCTGGTCACGGGCAGCTGCTGGGGTGGCCTGTCCACGCTGGTCAGGGAGCAGGAGCTCTGCTCAGGGTGCCAGTGAGGACCTCACTCAGAGCACTGGCTAACCCGGCTGCTGCTTCTGACCTTGCCAGTGAACTTCACAGAGCTTTTCTCTTATTTTCTCTGAATGTGTTGTCTTCTTCTTTGTAGATGATCATGGGAACAGCAATAGTAGTCATGTAAAAATCTTTTTACCGAAAAAGCTGCTTGAATGTCTGCCGAAATGTTCAAGTTTACCCAAAGAGAGGCACCGTTGGAACACTAATGAGGTAGATAATTTTCTATTTCTAGGGGTATCATTTCTTGAAGGGCAAACTGCTTAGGTCATTTTGCATAGTATTACTTTATATTAGCTTTGCCTGGAAATATTGAACTAGGAAATGGTAAATGAGAAAATTATTTAATTTGGATTTGACAGAAACCAACATGTTTTTTGAACGATCTTTGCTCAGCTTGGCTTGCTTTGAACAATATCAACTGTGCACGCTGACTGACTGACTAAGGGAGCATGGGTTCTCTCTCTGTTTTCCTGCATTTTGGCGTCTTGCATTTGGTGGTTAACTGCCTGCATCTCCACTGAACGCCGGTGCGTCTGCTGTCACGAGTTGGTGAAGAGACAGCTCAGGCAGGGCCCACAGACCGGGCGGTGTCTTGACGATGTGAAGTGTCTGTGGAGCTGGGACGCGTAGGCTTCCTGCTGGCAGGAAGCTCTTAGTCCTGTGATGAAGACAGTTTGCATGGAGGCCAGCTGGCTTCCCGGAACCATAGGAATCTCTATTAGAAGGAAGACTGTTTAGTGGACTGAATACAGGGGCAAAAGTAGGTTTATAGGGATTTGAATGGAAATAATACAATAAATAAAACATACAAAGGTAAACTGTTTCTCCGACTCACAACTGTAAGCTTACTTGTGCCCCTCCTTGATTTGGCATCCAGATAGAAAGAAATTTGATGATTAGAATGAATTAAAGTTTATCTTCTCGGGTGATGTTTCTTCTTTTTTGGTAAATCTTAACCTGGGAGTCTTACCACGGTTTGATTGCTTTCTCTTTGTTCTTAGTTCGGAATCTGAACATTGGAATTTAGGGTGATACCCGCGTAGTGTGGTGGTAAGAATTCAGTGTGTGTCCCTAACTTGGGGAGTTCTAGTTCTTTAATTCAAATGGCTGGGTTACTGGTTTTGCAGAGTTGGTTATTTATATAGAGGCCTGGTGCACAGGTTCGTGCATATTGAAAGTAAATTAGGAGGTGGCCAGCGGGGTGGAACTGGGCAAGATGGGCAGGATGTGCCCCGGAACCAACCTCTTTCGGTCCCTACCCAGCCAGTTACACTTGGAGCGGTGCTGGGGCTCAAGTGGCATCTGCCGAGTGAGCAGGGTCCCTAGGCCTGGCCTGCAGGGATCAGACTGAAACCGGCAGTCTGACATCCCCGAGGGGTCCCCGAGTGTGAGAGGGCACTCTGCAAAGCTGCTGTGCTTGGCAGCACCTGTGTTGAGCGCCTGCCCCCTGGTGGTCAGTGATCATCATAGCTACCAGCTGGTTGGCCAGTCACTTCGGCTTTTATATGTATAGATGTGTGCTACCCTGGTAGGGTGTTATATTTAACTAAGATAAGAAGAAAACAGTGTGTCTGTTCACCATTATTTTTTGAAGATTATTTTGTCCAGCTCCTCAATTTAGAATGCTTTTGTTTTGAGTTGTAAGTGGTTATATGGATGAAAGTTTCTTTACTTTTCCCAGTTTACCGAGTTAAATACTCCATAGAACCCCATAACTTTGTTACCATATCTCAGCTGACTTTAAATTTCTTTTAAGGTATGTATATTTTGATTATTTACATAAGTTATATTTCTCCTTCAGACAGAATACTTTTGCTTTGACTAACATTAGCTAGTTTAGAGGCCTATTGTTTCATGTGGTCATTTATTAGCTGTTTCAAACATTTAAGGCAGATAAAGTAGATATGTTTTAAATTAGTCTTTACCATAGATTATTACTCTACCAGCAAAATAGTATACTTTGGGAGCCATTCAGTAGGTCACAACTAGGTTTGAACTACTTAAAATTCAGTATATGTCTTTGTAAAATTCAGTATGTTTTTGCACCATGGATTTGACTCCATACTGTCATATATTAGCTCCAGTTTATTTATAAATGTATCAAAACATATAATAGGTATGTATTTTTAAATTTTATATCAAGGTGGCAGTTTATTTTAATTATGATTTAAAATTATATTAGAAAGCAGCTATGCTTAATTAAAATCAGTGGCCTTAAGAATCTTATAAAGCTAGAGGTGACAGTGTTAGAAATGTAGTTGGTAGTTTATTTAGATAATGGATTTCAGGTTTTTTGGAACGTTGGAGCACAGCTCTTCAACTGAGTTCACATTTTTACTTAGAGTTAAAATAATCGAGATGTTTTACTTTTACCTTTTAGATATAGTATAAAATGCCCAATAAAGAACATTTATAGAGATAAGACTAAAAGGAAAGTAGGCTCCGGGTTTGGTCCCAGCACCCCAGTTCACGGAGCTCGCTGGGAAATGCTGGTTTAGGTCCACGCTGCTAACTGCCAAGTTCACAGACAGGGCGGGCACCGAGAAGCGGGTGCGGAGGCGGAGCTGGGCGGCTGGCCTGCGTTCTGTGGAGAGGACATTGGCCTTTTTCCTGTTCCTTTTTGGCTTTAGGAAAAACTGGGGAATCTTGGAGTGACAGCAGAAGGCTCGATTAGGAGTTGTTAACTCTGTGGCAATGGACCTGTCATTAAAAACACTTAAAAATTTATTTTATTTAAAAATTGTTTTCCGTTACAGTTGATATTCAGTATCATACTAGTTTCAGGCACACACCATAGTGATTAGACACTGATATTCCTTATGAAGTGACCCTCCCAGTGAGTGTGGTGCTCACTTGACACCAGGCACCACTAATATAACGTTGACTGTGTTCCCCAGCTGTACTTCCCGTCCAGGGCTGTTTGTAACTGCCCTGTTTGTGCCTTCTTTATGCGCCTGCCTCCTCTCATTCAGTTTTTAACTGGCTTGGATCTTTGGAGGTGGAGATTGTTAGTATTCCCATCAAAGCACTCACTTCTCCGTCCTTCAGCTGCTCTGGAGCCTGGAGGACACCACATCACGCTGTCCACTGGCTCGGTGGGCCTGTGAAGGCAGGGCCCTTTGGTCAGGGAGTCCCTTCAATTGCTCCTCCAGTGAAGTGTGGCCATTCTGCCCTTCCGAGGGCCACGTCCTTCCAGCGGAGCAGAGGGCTGAGTTTGGTGGAGGGCTGTGTTTGGTGGAGGGCTGAGTTTGGTGGAGGCTGAGTTTGGTGGAGGCTGAGTTTGGTGGAGGCTGAGTTTGGTGGAGGGCTGAGTTTGGTGGAGGGCTGAGTTTGGTGGAGGGCTGTGTTTGGTGGAGGGCTGAGTTTGGTGGAGGGCTGAGTTTGGTAGAGGGCTGAGTTTGGTGGAGGCTGTGTTTGGTGGAGGCTATGTTTGGTAGAGGGCTGTGTTTGGTGGAGGGCCGCTTGAAGCGGCTTGTACTCAGGGGCTGGGTTTACACACGTGCATTTCCTTAGATCTCACTGGCCCGGCGTGTGCACAGCATGTTCGCCACATGGACTGGCGGCCCGAGTTGCCAGGACGAGATGTCAGCTGTCCTCTCCTCGCCCATGTTGTCCCCATCTCTCTGCGGGGTGTGCACAGCGGAATTCCCGGGAGTAGTCTGTAGAAATCTGGACATATTCCTTTGTTCAGGTCCGATCTGTCTTGTAATATTCATGACTATTTGAGAAAGCCCAACTTTTACACTGCGTGTGCATATTGGTGGAGGGGAGAGGGAGACTGGGCCACTCACATGCTGCCATTTGTGGAGACCTGTTCTCTGCTAGAGGCTGAGGACTGGGTGTAATTGTCCCTGAGCCTTGTAACAGGATGACAGGATGGGTAACCCTGCCTGTGACTGCTGAGGGACTGCTGGTGAAAAGTAGTTAAATTGGTCAAGATAGCTCACTTGATAGGGCTTGCCTTGGTCTGACCTTCATTTCTTTGAGTTCTCAGGAACATTCGTTCTATTGTGTGTTGTCTAGGCTTTTAATCAAAGGCCCGTAACTCTGAACATCAGTGCACTCAGCAGAACCTTTCTGTGATTTAGTTTTGGGTTAAAAAGCGTTAACAGCGGGTTCGTATTGAGGGTTCATTTGCCCATATTTGGTGGAGCTGAAAGTCACTGAGAAGGAAGATTATTAGAGGGGAAGAGAGATCTTAGGGCCCAGGCAAGCCACTCTTCACCTTCCCAGCTCATCGGGAGGGGAAACCTTCCTTTCCTGAGTGCTGTTTGCGACTTGGAATCAGATGTATGGGAAAACGAATCAAGTCTAGATTACGCTTTCCCCACCACACGCCTCCGCCCGGGTTCCGAAGATGATGAAGGACTGAGGCTGATGACAGCAGTCTTGGCAGCGAGCATTATGGGACATCCGCTTATGCCAGGCTCTAGGGCGCGTCCCACGTGCCCCTGATGGACCCTGTGCAGCAGTCCTGCGTTCTCCTCAGAGAGAGAAGAGTAAGGCAGTGGTGACGTGGGAGTCCATGCCTGGACTCATTCCATGTCTGTCCCAGAGGGTAACTTCCTGTGGCCTCCCGAGATCTTGCAGCTGGTAGTGACCGTGATCCTTTGTTTTATAGAACTGTTTGGCTTCTTTATGCATTTGCATTTAAAGTATTATACATGCACTTAATGTATTTTTGCATGAAGGTTTTTTTTTTTTTTTTTTTTTTAAGTAGCACACTCATTTCTTGTGGAAATCGTTTTTATTCTTGATAAATATTAATCTAGGGGCTCTGGATAATGAAGAATGTGTATTACCAGTAGGAATTCTGTGCCTCCAGGTAGCTGGAGGGTTAGGCTTGATGTTTCTATCCAGGGCAGGAGAGAGGGAAAGTATTAAACACAGTGCACATCTGTCAAGGCGCCAGCTCTTGCTTCATGACCCATTTGCTATTCACATCTTCATTGGGTGAACTATTACCAGGTTTTTTCGTTTTAAGTTAATATTTTTAAGGCCCAGGGCCAGAAATAATTATGCTAATGCAACTTTCTGATTGCACAAATGACTACTTCATAATTACACATATTAGTACTCCAAGAGTGTTGTTGGGACTGAAATCTCTTTTGTTTAGTCATTAATTAGCTGTTTGACTGAAAATAGCAACCCTGGTCCCACAGTTGCCTGGTCGCTTCCGCAGGCAGCTGAGTAACGGCGCCCAGCCCTCT